CCAGTACATGATGAAAATTACGGTAATCCCGCAAATTAGACCTTCCATATGATGAGTGACTGAACAAACTGGGATTTGAGGCTGGGATTTATGTACAATGAGCTGGGATATGATGACAAGGATATACCTTAATATATATTAAGGTATACGTGCTCTATGCCTTAAAGTTTACCGGAGCTTGAGTTTACTCCCCCCCCCTCAGGAAGTACTCTCCCCCCTCCCCCTCCTTCCCCCCCTTTCTCTCTCCCCCCCCCATCCCTCTACCCCCCCCCCCCCCGACCCTCTAACCCAATAACTGGACGTCTGTTTGAGGTTTGTCTTCCCTAATTTTTTTTATGTATTTTATTTTTTTTTCATACAAATTTTTTCACTGCCGACCATGTCCTTTTTGGCTCCCTTCTGGTGGTGTTGTGTCTGTCTGTCTGTCTGTCTGTGTCTCCCCCCCCCCCTCTCTCTCTCTCTCTGTGGTAGCAGAGGTACTAATGGTGTGGTGGTGGTAACGTCTCGTCCAAACCAAACATTGTGGTTGACAGGAACGGAGGGGGGAGGGGTGACAGCTGAGTGGACAGCGCTCTGGACTCGAAATCCTAGGGTCCGGGTTCGATCCCCGGTGATGGCAGAAACAAAATGGACAGAGTTTCTTGCACCTTGGTGCCCCTGTTACCTAGCAATAAATAGGTACCTGGGAGTTAGACAGCTGTTTCGGGCTGCTTCCTGGTGTGTGTGTGTGTGTGTGTGTGTACTCACCTAATTGTACTCACCTAGTTGTGTTTGCGGGGGTTGAGCTCTGGCTCTTTGGTCCCGCCTCTCAACCGTCAATCAACAGGTGTACAGATTCCTGAGCTTATTGGGCTCTAGGTGTGTGTGTGTGTGTGTGTGTGTGTGTGTGTGTGTGTGTGTGTGTGTGTGTGTGTGTGTGTGTGTGTGTAAAAAAGCGAACAAATTGTTAGTAGTTAGTAACAGTTGATTGATTGACAGTTGAGAGGCGGACCGAAAGAGCAAAGCTCAACCACCGCAAGAACAACTAGGTGAATACAATTAGGTGAATGCAACTAGGTGAATACAATTAGTTGAATACAACTAGGTGAATACAACTAGGTGAATACAACTAGGTGAATACAACTAGGTGAATACAACTAGGTGAATACAACTAGGTGAATACAACTAGGTGAATACAACTAGGTGAATATAGCTCTGTGAATACACACACACACCTTAACAAACCACTCAGGAGAGTTCAAAAGTCTTATAAATTTCACCTAAACATAATTGAGTGAATCCTATTAACAATAATATTATACATTTAACATAAACAATAATGATGATGTATTCCTGACAACTGAAGAATCAGTTGTTCATTTTTCACAGACAAGAACATCTCTTCATTTATATTTTTTGACTCGTAAATATATTTTTGCTATGAAACTCCGGCAGAAGTTTTTAATTTCTTCCGTATCTAAACACTTGTGAGGGCGAGGGAAGCTACCTTAGGGTTTTGTTCCTGTTAACATGAGGCAGGGCTGAGGCAGGGCTGAGGCAGGGCTGAGGCAGGGCTGAGGCAGGGCTGAGGCAAGGCTGAGTCAAGGCTGAGGCAAGGCTGAGGCAAGGCTGAGGCAGGGCTGAGGCAGGGCTGAGGCAGGGCTGAGGCAGGGCTGAGGCAGGGCTGAGGCAGGGCTGAGGCAGGGCTGAGGCAGGGCTGAGGCAAGGCTGAGTCAAGGCTGAGGCAAGGCTGAGGCAAGGCTGAGGCAGGGCTGAGGCAGGGCTGAGGCAGGGCTGAGGCAAGGCTGAGGCAGGGCTGAGGCAGCTTAGTCGTTCCCAGATGCCAGGAAGGCTGAGCTGGACCTGACAGACCTGTTAGTTCTCTCTCTCTCTCTCTCTCTCTCTCTCTCTCTCTCTCTCTCTCTCTCTCTCTCTCTCTCTCTCTCTCTCTCTCTCTCTCTCTCTCTCTCTCTGTCTCTGTAGTTCCGTGTGTGGTAGTGGTGGTGTTGGCTACCTCTATGGGCGGCAAGCTCTTGTTCAACCGTAAAATCTAACCAACCACCTAACTACCACTAACCACCACCACCACTAACTACCACTAACCACCACCACCACTAACTACCACTAACCATCACCACAACTAACTACCACTAACCACCACCACCACTAACTACCACTAACCACCACCACCACTAACTACCACTAACCACCACCACCACTAACTACCACTAACCACCACCACCACCTAACTACCACTAACCACCACCACTAGACTACCACTAACCACCACCACTAGACTACCACTAACCACCACCACTAGACTACCACTAACCACCACCACCACCACTAACCACCACTACCACCACCACTAACTACCACTACCACTACCACTACCCACCACTACTACCACTAACCACCACCACTAGACTACCACTAACCACCACCACTAGACTACCACTAACCACCACCACTAGACTACCACTAACCACCACCACCACACTACCACTAACCACCACCACCACCACTAACTACCACTAACCACCACCACCACTAACTACCACTAACACCACCACTAGACACCACTAACCACACCAGACTACCACCACCACCACCACTAACCACCACTACTACTACCACTAACCACCACCACCACTAACTACCACTAACCACCACCACCAGACTACCACTAACCACCACCACCACTAACTACCACTAACCACCACCACCACTAACTACCACTAACCACCACCACCACTAACTACCACTAACCACCACCACCACTAACTACCACTAACCACCACCACCACTAGACTACCACTAACCACCACCACCACTAGACTACCACTAACCACCACCACCACTAACTACCACTAACCACCACCACCACTAACTACCACTAACCACCACCAAACTATGCAGGTGACCCTCCGGCCTCTCAGGTATTCTCCACTTTCAAATACTCACGTAATTAATCCTTGCTCTAATTGTACTCACCTAGTTGTGCTTGCGGGGGTGGAGCTCTGGCTCTTTAGTCCCGCCTCTCAACTGTCAATCAACTGGTGTACAGGTTCCTGAGCCTATTGGGCTCTATCATATCTACACTTGAAACTGTGTATGGAGTCAGCCTCCACCACATCACTGACTAATGCATTCCATTTGTCAACCACTAAAAAAGTTCTTTCTAATATCTCTGTGGCTCATTTGGGCACTCAGTTTCCACCTGTGTCCCCTTGTGCGTGTCCCACCCGTGTTAAAGAATTTGTCTTTTTCCACCTGTAAATTCCTTTGAGAATTTTGTAGCTAGTGATCATGTCTCCCATTATTTTTATAACTTCCAGGGACGTGAGGTTTAGCTCCCTTAGCTTTTCCTCGTAGCTTATACCTCTCAGTTTCGGGAGTAGTTTGGTGGCATAACTCTGAATCTTCCCTAACTTTGTCTTGTGTTTAACTAGGTATGGACACTAGGCTGGAGCTGCATACAGAAGGATTGGTCTGACATAGGTTTTATATAGGGTCCTGAACGATTCCTTACAAAAGTTTCTAAAGGCAGTTCTTATGTTGGCCTGTCTAGCATATGCCGCTGATGATATTCTTTTGATGTGGGCCTCTGGGGACAGGTTCGGTGTGATATCAACTCCCAGATCTTTCTCTCTATTTGACTCTTGCAGGATATCACCTCCCAGATGATACCTTGTGTTCAGCCTCCTGTTCCCTTCGCCTAATTGTATTACTTTACACTTTCCTGAGTTGAACTTTAGCAGCCATTTTCTAGACCATTCCTCCAGCTTGTCCAGGTCATCCTGAAGTCAGTGTCTATCTTCATCCGTCTTGATTCTTCTCATAATTTTTGCATCATCAGCAAACATTGAGAGGAACGAGTCTATACCCTCCGGAAGATCGTTTACATATATTAGAAAAAGGATGGGTCCAAGTACAGAGCCCTGTGGGACTCCACTGGTGACATCTCGCCACTCTGATGTCTCCCCCCTCACCGTTACTCGCCGTTTCCTGTTGCTTAGATACTCCCTTATCCACTGGAGCACCTTCACTTTTACTCCTGCCTGTTTCTCTAACTTTTGTAACTGCCTTTTGTGAGGTACTGTGTCAAAGGCTTTCTGACAGTCCAAGAAAATGCAGTCTTCCCACCCTTCTCTTTCCTGCCATCTCTGAACCCATGTTGGTGGTGTCTTACAAAGCTCCTTCAATCCAGCTGTTCTAAAAAAATTTCCTCACGATCTTCTCCATCACCTTGCATGGTATACAAGTTAGGGAAACTGGCCTGTAGTTCAGTGCCTCTTGCCTGTCGCCTTTCTTGTATATTGAGACTACGTTACCTGTCTTCCAACTTTGTGGTAAGTCTTCTGTTTCCAGTGACCTGTTATACACCATAGAGAGTGGCACACTTAGTGCTTCTGCACCTTCCTTTAGTATCCATGGAGAGATTCTGTCAGGCCCAACAAGATTTG